TTGACTACTGTGGCTGTATAGTAGGTTTTGAGATCCGGCAATGTGAGACCTCCTACTTTGTTTTTCTTTTTCAGTAGTGCTTTGCTTATCCGAGGTCTCTTTCCAAAGGACTTTCTTAAGTGTGTAATTTGTTATTTTTCTTGAAGAACAGTTTAGGAAGTGCTTGAAAATTTCTAGTGGCTCCCATTACCTAGCAAAGTATAAATTTCAGGCCATCCACGATCAAATTTCTTATTTTGAGTCCATCTCCCACTCCTGTCTTTCAGACATCATATTTGCTGGTCCCCTTTTCTACATACAGCTCATGGTTTCATATCTCCATGTCCCGTTTATGTACTTTCCTCTGCTTGCAGTTTTCTTATATCTCATCTGTTTACAGACAAATCTTGTTCAACTTTCAAGGTCCAGAAGCTTCATGAAGCCTTTATCTCCACAGCCAGAAAAATTTCAGTCTTACGAAAGTTCATGACAGTTTTATGTTTAAACCTCTCCTAGTTTTTACATCATTTGTCTAGGGAGGCTATTCCAAGTCAAAAGGCAGCTCTCCTCCATCTGATGGTTTGGCTTCCTGATCTCCTAGGGTTTTAACAGGGTGTCATGATTAGGTCACCACCTCATGTTCTAGCTGGTCCATGAAGAAGAGCATGGAAGGCACATGTGCTCTGAAGACTCTGAAAGGAGTACTTATTACTTTTGTGTACATCTGCTGCAAGGGAGACTGGGAAATGTCTACCTGTGTGCCCACAGAGGAGCCCTGGTGCTGTAGTCGTTAAAGCCCGTGGCTTTTAACCAGAAGGTCAGCACTTTGAACCCACCAGCTGATACGTGGGGAAAAGGAGGTGGCAATCTGCTTCTGTAAAGATCTACAGCCTTGGAAATGCTAAAGGACAGTTCTGCTTTGTCCTATAGAGTCTCTGTGCTGGAATCCACTTGATGACAATGGGTTTAAATTTTGGTGTGTGTGCCCAGGAAGAAATGGAGCATGGTTTTTTAGAGCCAAATAGCAGTTCCTGCCACAAATAACTAGGAATAAATATTTTATAAAATGTATATGTAGGACCTTTGTGGAGAAAATTCTAAAACTTTACTGAAAGGATTAAAGAAACCTAAATAAATAAGTACTGTGTTCATGAATGTAAAGATTCCATGGCATAGAGATGACAATTCTATCCAAATTAGTCTGTAAATCCAGAGTAACTCCAGTCAACATCCCAACGGGCTTTTTTCATAGAATTTCTCAAGCTGATTTTAGAATCAGAATAGCAAAGCACAAGAGCAAGATCATCAGAGTACTAAAGAAACAAGCTGAGCAAGGTGAGAAAACATTTATACAACATCGGCATTATAAATATGTTAATTAGGGTATGTTGAGATAGGTAAGGAGGCTAGTAAAATAGAATAAAGAGGTCAGAAACAGATTGACTTATATATGAATTCCAGATTTTTGTAAAATTTTGTAAGAAAAGGTAAACTTCAGTTAAAAGTGTCCAGAAAATTATTAGATAGTCAAAACAGGAAAAAAAATCTCTTCCATACCTCATACTCTAGACACAGAATAAAACATGTACTTTCTTAATGTGAAATGTGAAAAAATTTGAAAACTTTCCAGAAAAAATATTGGGACTGACTTTGTAGTGAGAAATGGAGAAAGATTATTTTTTACACAAGACATTTGAGTGCACACCATAAAGGAAGAGACCAATAAGTTTTACTATATTAAAATTTGGTTCATGAAGCGTAAAGTGAATAAACAAGCTATAGGAGTTTGACTTCAACCATGGATATAGAACAACAACAGATAAACTACAGATGAGTGTCTTGAATCTGTCAGAGAGCTGGAACACAAGGAAAGACAGGCCCTGCCGAGAGAGAGTAGATGAGAGCACTAGCTCACCTGATGGAAAAAGAGAAAAAAGCTCACCCAGGAAAAAGAGACGTGTGTAAGAAAAATTCAACTAAAATTTTTTTTAAAAAAGTTGCTAACGACCTTCTGGGTTGGCATGAGAGTATAGATCTTCTGGGAGCTGCACGCAGACACAGCAGTCTTTACACCTACTCACACGTTGTCCAGCGACTTCCCACAAGGTGCTGATGAGAAAGACAGGCAAGGCAGGAAACTGGGGAGAGTCCCTGCAGAAATGAACAGAGGGGAGCAGTCTCTGCTGCTACACAGAAGTGAAGCCTTGCCAGGACCCTTCTTCCCTAAGCAATAAAATCTTAAGGTGCTGGGGGAGGGCTGTCAGACTTTCTCGCCAAGGGGGAAAGAACCCCATTGAAGCTGGACTAAGGATAGAAGCCGCCCTCTAAACCTGGATCCTTTGCCATGAGCTGGCTTAAGTTGCACAGAGGCCCCACACTCAAATAGGCCACACGCGTGGTTTAATGCTTTGCTGTTAGTATCTTGAAATTCTTGATTTTTGAACATGGGATTCTACATTGTAATTTTGCACCTTTTTTAAAAAGATTTTTTTTACTGTGATTTGGGTGAAAGTTTACAGAGCAAATTCATTTTCTATAGAGCAGCTCACATATACTTTGTCTCATGACATTGACTGCAGTTTCCCACAATGCAACAACTCCCTTCTAAGTTTCCCATATTTCTGAAACAGCTAATAAATCATACCAGATAATGCATTGCCTAGTTGTTGTTGTTGTTGTTATGTGCTATCGAGTCGGCCTAGTATAGCATCCCAAATCATTATTTGTGAAATTTGTTTTTAATTTTTTATTTTGAGATAATTTTAAGCCTTACAGAGAAGTCCTACATACCTTTCACCTAGGTAGACTGTAGTACCATATCACAAGCAGGAAAGTGGCATTGTTAAAAATCAGCTCTACTCAATTTTTACCAGTTCCACGTGTACTTCTTTTTTTGTGTGTGTTTATTTCTTACCAGTATATATAGTTAATGTGTGTATTTGTGTGAAATTTTATCATGTAACCACAACAGTCACCACAATATACAAATCAATATAAAAATGACTACAAAATGCAAAACAAGTCCATCATAAGGATCCCTTGGGCTAGCATTTTATAGCTGTAGCCACCTCCTTCCCACCCAAACTCTTCATTTAGGGAAAAATAAAGATCTTAAACGTTTAAAACATCATAATCATTTTTCTTAACTATCCTTAGTATTTCAGAGTATGGCTGCATAATGGAGATGAAAGGCATCCATACTTTCTGTAATGGAAAGTCACTTGTAGAAGCAATTGGAATTCGTCGGTTCAAGGTCTTACGCCATCATCAGCAGGGTGGTTTGAACACTGTGGATGTTGAGTATATTGAAGATGAAAAGGTACTGTTTATTTTACTGATGCATTTACTACAAATCAGTCTTCTTTTCCTAGACATTATGGGAAAATTTTGTCAGATTTTTATTTGATGGTACTACTTATTTTCTCCTAAATTCATCATTTAAGTTAAATATTACCTTAGTGGATTTTGACTGGGTTGGATCTGAGAGAGAAAGTCTCTCCTAAAGAAATCACCTCACTGCCTTTAGGGAACATGCCAACCTGCACATGGCAAAATGTGATTCTTTGTTTTGATAAGTTACTCCAGGGGTCAACACATACTCTGTAAAGGGCAAGATAGTGAATATGCTAGGCTTTGTGGCCCATGCAATACAGTCTCTGTCAACAGCTACTCATCTGTGCTGTTTTGATGCAAAAGCAGCCTTAGACAATACATAAATGAATGGGCACGGCTGGTTTCCAATAAAACTTCATTTATAAAGAAATGTAATGAATAGGATGCGATTTGCAAGCTGAATCTCTGTTCTAGATAATGATATTCGTTCAAATTGAGGCATAAAATAAAGCAGTTATGCTTAAAAATAATTTTTATAGCTAAATAAAGACTTGGAATCTTACACTTTAAGAGTTACTTATGTGTCTAATAGATATATTAAGGATCTTTGGTGGTGCAGTGGTTAAGGCATTTGGCTGCTAACCAAAAGGTTGGTGATTTGAACCTACTAGCTGCTCCATGGAAGAAAGATGAGGCAGTCAGCTTCAGTAAAGATTTTCAGCCTTGGAAACCCAGTGGAGCTTGCTTGCTATGAATCAGAAGTGACTCGATGGCAGTGAGTTTTGGTGAGTAGTTATATTAGGACAGATAATTTGAGAGATTAACAAAATATTTTGAAGAGATTTTTAAAAAGACTTGTTTAAGAATGTTCAAAGTGAGAGTTCCGGCAAGATGGTTGACTAGGCAGAAAGACTGCACAGACCCTCTTCAACAAAGAAAAGTGAAACCAGTTAACACAGAGACAGAAAATAATTCTGGACCCCTGAGCCTTGAAGGCAAGGATATAGAAGTGGACTAAACCCCAACTAGCAAAAGAATTTGCGTGAAAATACCAAAAAAGGAGACGTGGAACTGCGGTCTGGCAGCGATCCTGAGCAATCCTGAAGGCACAGACAGCTTGGAGAGTGCCGAGTGGTGGTAGGACCTAAGAATTAAACTAAAAATCACCCTGCTAGCCAGGGACTACATGGAGGACTGTGCACGGTGGCTGGGCAACAAACGGAGAAGGTGAAGAGAAAGGTGGGCTGAGCTGTGGACTTTTGCCAGTCTGGAGGACGCCGCCATTTTGAAGGTTTAAAAAGCGGCTTGACTATTTTGGATATT